GAAAGATTGTGTAATTTTTTGCAGAAGTCTTACTATAATGCCAGAATTTGTTTTATTCATCGGTAGTAATATATTTTAGTAAGTTCTGCTTGTATATTGTTACATATATATTGTTAATATGATGAAATAAATTAATCGTAGACTATAATGGCTGTTCTTTCGACTAGGTAAGAGTTTGTTACTCTGCAACATATTTTTTAATTTCTTTGACCGCGATCCGATTCACAACCTCATATTCACAATCTTTGACATTATATTTTTGTTTAAAACTTCGTTTTTTTTCATAAATGACAAAAATGAAATGATTCGAAATGAGTGTTGTAAACATGAATGTTACATGAATTGGACCGCGGCTTAACATGTATTGTTCAAAAATTTATAATTTGCTTGCGCTGCTTATTTTGTGCAAATTAGGTTTGTTCTTTTTGTTGAATTTTTGATTCATTTGACATGGTTCTCTCTTCCTTCTTTCTTCACAGAGAAAAACAGAGAAAAGAGATGTACTGTGCAAGAAGTTCAGCTGAAAAGAATAGGCCTATTATTTCATCCAATTGATCTTACTTTGCAAGGTGAAGTTTTACGTGAAGTTTCAGCTTTGTCTTAGCAAATTTGAAAAGAGGAGTATAGCATTGTGTCTTACAAAACGAAATAAAAATTTAAAAGTTGGAGGAAGAATGCAGGTGAAACACAGTCTTTTAATTATATTATCGCTCTTTCACAGCGGCAAAAGGCGTACATATTGAAAGAATGAATCATATCAATCACATGACTGCTCGTATCTGTCAACGTAACGTCATTAGTAGCCTACATAGCCTAATAGGGTAGGTACAGAGCGGCACAACATAACGCTCTGGGAAAATTTGATAGGTTAGGACTGATGCCTTCTCTATCTCGAACACCTTTGACTTTGATAAACAGGCTGATTTTCGTTAGCGTATCGTCGAAAAGGAAAACGTGACGTGACAGTTCGTCGTATCGCGACGGTCTTCTAGTTCTTCATCTCAATGTTCCATTTTCAGGATTTACAAGTGTATGATACATTTGACTCATCGATGACGCCACGACTACATTCTTTAATTAAGTCATTAGGGGTCTGATATTAGAGACCTTTCCCTTTCATCTGCGAAATAACTTCTGAGAAGAGGAAGAACATAAGTCGCGCTTAAGGCCAACTGTTTATGTTCGATAACGATCTGTCACGATGGAACCTGGGACGAGCAGCTCGACGGATGATTACGTGGAAATAATACGGAAATTGCCTCTTTATTTGAGATTAGCCTATGGCACAGGTCATGTGTTAAATGACATCTGCGCTTCCATGTGGTTCACTTATTTACTGGTCTTCTTTCATCTGGTACTTGGATTTGATCCGACTCTGGCTGGCGTTGTACTTCTCATTGGCCAAGTAGCAGATGCTTTGGTCACTCCGTTTGTTGGTTTTCAATCTGATATAAATGACAACTTTTGGTTGTGCAGATATGGCAGAAGAAAAACCTGGCATTTGTTAGGTATTATTTTTAAACTTGTTATCTAAATTTTTATCTTGTTTAGTCTTGTTATTATTTTATGTAGCGAATATTAAACTGTTGGTAATAAGTTAGCAGTTTGCCAGCAAGAACAAGCAGGATATTAACATTGACTGCATCTACATTAAATTATTCTATATGTTATGCTATATCTTATGTTATATCTTATGTTCTATTAATAGAGCCTGTTAACAAACTGATAGTAGGAATTGAATAGAATCTGTCGTTTTGTAATTTAAACGATATCCATTTCAATGGTTAAAAAACGTAATAGATTTTATTTCGTTTCTACTGCTAATTCATTGTCAATTTATATCTCTATTAGCAGAACACTTTAATATAGATTGATACCAATATATCACAATAGTCTGTAGTAAATTTGCCATTGCATTTTGTTGGCAAATTTTGTTATAGTTTTGCTTATATTTCGACAAGATCTATAGTAAACATTTTGTAAACATTTTACAAAATTTACTTTCGACAGATTTGGCTATCTAGATATGCTTTTGTTTCGAAACACTGTAATAATTATTTACTTTGCAGGCACTATTTGCGTACTATTGGGATTTCCTTTCATATTCTCGCAATGTCTAGGCTGCGAAAGTGCACATCAGTACGCACAGCTAGTTTATTATGCTGCTTTTGTAGTGATTTTTCAATTTGGTTGGGCAGCGGTACAAATATCACATTTGGCTTTAGTCCCAGAGCTTACGCCTTCTGAACACGAGAGAACTGAACTTATAGCTATAAGGTAATAGTAGAAAAATCATTCAGAAAAAATAATGTTTATTTAATGAAGATAACATATACATATGTGTAACAAAATTCTATCACAATATTAAATAGGTTCACATTTACTGTCTTCTCCAATGTTCTTGTTTACTGTATTATGTGGGGTGTACTACATGTAACGAGTGATGAGTATGATGCTCAGATCGGACCTAGTGACATTCACAAATTTCAGAAAGTTGTTTTAATTGGAATAGTAACTGGATTAGTTACATCCATTATATTTCATGTTGTTGTTAAAGAAAGTGCTAATGGCACTGCTAATGGCACTGGTAATAGTTTTTAAAAATATGATATTATATACATGTGCATAGGTATATAATATGTAAACATAAATAATTGATATCTTTTTAGGTAGCTTTATGCATAGGAACGCTAGAACAGCATCAGTATTATTGAGAGATGTCAGAATGTATCAAGTAGCGTGCGTCTATATGCTTACACGCCTATTCATTAATTTATGCCAAATTTATATACCTCTATACTTACATGAATCATTGAACATGCCTGCGACATCTTTGGCTTATATACCATTGACAATGTATCTAAGTAGTTTTTTAACATCTTTAATTATAGAGAGGCTCAATACAAAATGGGGTCGAAAAGTCGCGTATTCTATCGGTGCTTTACTTGCGATATGTGCCTGTATTTGGATACAATTTGGTAATGGTGACATATATGTTAAATATCAAATCTATGTTGTAGCTGTACTACTAGGTAATTTATATAGAATTTTTAATTAGATATAATGTAAATGCGAAGTTTTATAAATTTAAGAAAATTAAGAACGACTAATTAATTTAATTTATAATGTTATAGGTTCTGCTGGTGCAATAATGTTAGTGACTAGTCTTGGTGTTACTTCCGATCTAATAGGAAAAAATACTGAGAGCGGTGCCTTTGCCTACGGAATTATGAGCTTTACAGATAAGCTTAGTAACGGTCTGGTGGTTATGTTGATTCAGTATTTAGTAAAGTTAGTATGAATATTTAACACATATTAAATTTGTTTAATTTAACATAATTAAATTTATTATTTAAAAAGTCATAGATTGAAAGAAGTATTGCTTTAACTATGTTTGCCTTTCAGACACTGTTCGTCTGGTTATGCTAGTTATTACTACAGAGACATTCTTACATATATCTGTGGAGTATCCGCGACATTTGCTTTACTGATGATTTTATACATCAAACCATTCTCACGTACTACGGGTATGTTTAGAATGCATTTGTTTGCATTTTAGTGATATAATAATTGTAAATCAATATTTAACCATGTAAATGTAAAAATTGTTTTAGTTTTTGATACGTTACGCAACGATGATGATGATGGTTTCATAGAAACTCCAAATGCAGTTGATGGAAATTCCTCTTCAAATCAATCTCAAGCCAATATACATTGATGATACAACAATACTTAATTTAGTTTGTAAGTTACTTAGCTCTAAAAAAAAATGGAATGTAAAGACATTGATAATATTAAAAGAAAAAGATACTTGCTATTGTAGGCTGCAAAGCACACTATCTGCGCTGTTTATTACACTATTCTTGTTTCACATCAAATGGACGATGACGATGATGAGAATAACATAAATAGTGCTGATAATGTTTCCTCGAATGTTATGTGATATATATAACTATAGATAGTAAACAACTACTATCTTTTTTACTTGAAACTGTTGATATTATAATTTTATATATTTTAATAATATTGAAATTTTATAATTAATATTGAATTTTATTTTATGTTCTATTAAAGCAAATTTCTTATATTGTAAGATTATTGTAAACGATATTTGAATTAAATATTTAAAATTTTTAGTATAGTTATTGTATCTCAAAATCACATCTCAAAATCGTATGGAATATATAAACATTTATTATACTTTTTAATTTAAATAAGATTAAATCTAAATACGGATATTATGACTGTGTCGGTTTTGGTACTCATGCGCTGCATGTAAGTTCCATTCTGTCTTTTTTCTCTATAGATAAAAGTAATAAACATAAAAAAGTGATAAAGATAGAAGCTTACAACGTTGAAATCGAATGCAGGCTATACTTTAAAGATAAGTACGCTCATTTACTTGTGTCCGTGTATTGCACTTTGTCACGCAAAGCATAGGAGAAAAAGCGGAAGAAAAAGAGAAAGAAGCTTATAATGTTATGATGTAATCTAAAGCTACGTTATTATAGAATTAATTATTTTATTTTTGAATTAGATTTACTTTTCTATTGTCTTATATATGTTTTTAAATATTTTGTTTTTTCTATTTATTGTTCATGTTGTCATAATTATTATCCCAGTATTCGAAATAAATTATAATTTTGGATTCGGTAATTTTCAAGGAATTGAAATAGATAAAAATAGATTCCTGTAGTCATTATCACATCCGAAATTATGATTTTTCTGTATTTTTCGTAATAGGATGTATTGTTTTTTTATGTCATAATTATTATAGCTCAATTATTATAACTTAAAGTTAAACAGCTAAATTAAAATATTAAATATAGTAATATAAAGAGAATATTTTTCTCTATTTTAAAAAGGTACAAAATTTATTAGATCTTGAATTTTTACAGAGTTTATTAAAATCACTTCAAGAAATAAAATTGTTTGTATCGTACATACAATTGACGCTTCTTATTTGCAGATTTATTATTCACAGTTTGATCAAATTAACGCTAAATATTTCTGAAATATTCATACAATATTCCTGAAGTCCCACAGTAATAGTTCAAAAATATTTCGGTATATTCCGAAATATTTATAGAATGTAAAAGCAATATTTAAATGATCGTAAAATATTCTATGTATGTATAATACATGTAATTACATATTCAAAGAATATTCCACATATTTACATTATATTATGAGCATTTGGATTATATTGTATTATGAGCATTTCTAATATAATCGTATTACGAATAAAATAGTAAATCTGATAGTTTAAAACTTTCATAGTAAAAGAGCAATAGGTTTATTTATTTAAGTCTTTTTTACTTGTTCTAGAAATATATTTCTCATTTTTTATGCGTGTACTGATCTCTTCAGTGACCTGTGCCCTTACGAAAAATAATCACTGCAGACCAGGTATTATATAATTCGTGTAGTTACTGTAATCCCGCACAAATTACTACACACGACGAATCATATGCGTATAGTTACTATACAATACAACAAAAATATTAGAGTCGACAAACTTTTGTAGTAGAAGGATTACACGCTAATAAAAGCATTACAGAGGATCATACGCTTGTAATTATCGTATCACAAAAACGGTGAACACATAGATGCTTGTAATATTTATATATGTAGTTACATAATATATGTAATTACATATGTTGTTACATATGTAATCACACAATTATGTGTGTGTGCGTGTGTGCGTGTGCGTGTGCGTGTGCATGTGCGCGCGCGCGCGCGCGCGTATGTGTGTGTGTGTGTGTGTGTGTGTGT